ACAAGAAAATGGAAGAACGTTCAGCTAGACTTACAAGTTATTGAGCTCAAACGCACGCACAGCAACGAAGTCAGTACGGTGAAATTACCCAGAAATCATTAAGTTAACATTCTTGGTCCTTTGTTGTTCAAACCTTGAGAGAACTTGAAATTTTTTACCTATCAAAGCTTACCTGAGTTAAAAATGGCAGTGCAAAGAAAGTCACCTGTGATTTCATCCATCCATTTATAATGAGAGGCCAGAGCTAGGAGAAGAGCAGAGTCTTCGTATTCCCCACCTTCCTTCAAAGACTGCTTCTTCCGGTCAATCTGAAAACGCTCAACATTTTGAACAATATTTGATGCCGACCAGCTGGTGACCAAGACTATCTTGCACAGGTGGGAGAACATGGCTCGATTCATAGCACTTTCTTCTGCTTCGAATGATTTTCCAGGGACAGGGGTTGAAACGATTTGCCCAACAGAAAAGGTCGATTGCGCGCAAAGAGGTTCATCCTACTTACTATAAAGCGCTTCGTCTGTCGTCTGTCTGTCTGTCTGTCGTCTGTCGTTCTGTATGTCTGTCACGAAATTCCCTAGCTCCTCGGGATCCGCCTGGAGGGACCGGGTCAAGTGTGGGATGGGTGGGCAAGGTCTCACGAAGTACAAAACACACATCAGCTAAGCGGAGCCCCGCCCACAGTGGGCGTGGCGTGCATCGAAATGACCAAGATCCCGAGTTAAATCCCAAAACAGCCTAGAGAACGGAAAAAAGTGGGTCGAACATTGGTAAGTCACATCGAATTAGGGAGACCCACCCCCGGTGGGCGGGGCGTTCTCTAAAAAAGCAGTGCTTTATGAAAAATTTCATAACTCGGTTGGGAGAAAGCCTACAGAGCAGAAAACAAATTGGTGTAGGGGAGCAATGTCTAAGGTGTTTCCAGCATACATGACGTGGGCGGAGGCCCGCCCACAATGGGCGGAGCGCGCTCTGAAGTGCTACAAGTCCTCATAATTCGGGTCGAGAAGTCTTAAGAGCAGGAAAAAGGTGGATAGAGGTCAGAGAAGGAGGGGAGGCCAGATTTTGATGGTGGGCGCGGCTTGCACAATGTGGGCGGAGTTTGCTTTCACAGCTATGACTCGGTTCTAAAAATTCTTGGAGACTGGAAAAAAGTGGAAAAGGTCAGCGAAGGGAAGGAAGCCAACTGCTATTGGTGGGGGGGGAGGGGGGTATGCAACAAAGTTTGTTGCCAGAATTATAACTCGGTCTGGGAATTACAGCGAGTTCCAGAGATCGGGGGAAAAAGTGGGTGAAGGGAAGGAAGTGAATTTCTAATGGTGTGTGGAGTCCAAAAAAGCGGGCATTGCCGACAAACATATAAATCGGCTCAGAGATCGCGTTAACGTGCACCTTTTGATTTTTCGGAGTAGGGAGAGGCAGTCCGGAGAACGCGAAAAAGAAAAAGGTGGATGAGACATGCAACGAAATAGGTGGAGTCTACCACAGTTTTATAAATCGGTTCAGAACGCAGTCCGGAGAACGGTGAGAAGCGGTCAGTGGTTGTCGAAGGAGAGAAGGTCAAAAGATATCGGTGGACAGGGCATGGCACAAGCGGATAGAATCGAGCTAAGAAGCCAGATATTCGTAGCGAATCGGGCCAAATTTGAGAGTTTACACCGCAACATTCCATATCGCCAAAGAGCTGTGTTGAGCGCGCAACAGCGTGCAGGCGCCACCTGATCATACCTTGGGAATGGCCATAAGTCAGGTAAATGGCACATAAGTCAACGATTGCTAGAAAGCTCATTGATGCGCAGCAGCAGGTTAGTAGCTGGGGACTCACTACTAAGAAGGATCACGCGGGGAAAGTTTTTGGCAAGGTTGTTCTACTGTTCTCACAGAACTTACCTAAAAAAACTTCCGACGTCATTTTTTTTGTCAACATTTGCTTCTATTTGCCTGTATGTAGAGTCTGCGAGCGATTCACAACAAGTTTAGGGGACTATTTCACCAAAAGCGCCCATTGACGCATGCTCCAGGCTTTTTTGGCAAGCAAAGTCTTTCATGGGAATGTTTCAAAAACTTTGAACGCACATTTGAGATCGGCTCTGCAAAGCGTGTACAGCTGTATGCAACTCGCTAAGAATGACTGGATCCGAGCACATTTGCATACGCGACTGTCTATGCCATAGAGACAATGACGAAGGGTGCAATGACTGGAGGCGAGGAACTGACTTGCACCCTCCACAGGATGGAATCCTGTCGCTGTGCAACAGATCACCAGTCCCTTCTCATGCGGATTCCTCGTATTACATTGGTTTGACAGAATAAAAACGCCCACCATGAGGTCGACGGGTCATTGTAAAAGATTATATGTATTGTAAATATTTGTCATTTCATATCATTGTAAATATAAACAATTACGTACCCTACGCAGTATGCAGAGGGGAATCCGGAGTTCCGAACTACGCCAACGATCGAAGATCAGGGACGCTGCCGTTTTCGCCAAGGAATCGAAGATAAGGTGGGCCGGACACGTCATGCGATTTTGCGATGACCGTTGGACCAGAGCGGTTACCGACTGGATCCCTCGGGACGTCAAACGAACACCTGGACGACCGCCGGCCCGATGGTCAGACTTCTTCACGAAAGCTCTGAACGAAAGGAATGAAGGCTTCGTGTCCCTCGAGCGAGGAGGATCCACTGGACCACTCTAGCACGCGACAGGGACGAATGGAGACGTTGCTGGCGCCCGCTCGAGCAAATCGACGATCAACGGGACGTATGCAAGATCAAAAGCACAGTGTGACATAGAGATTTAAGGAATTAAATTTCACTACTGAATAAACATCACAGCTCTTCTTCCTACCTGCTTTCTCTTACGCACAGTTGCAGACGTACTCGCTCGACTTACGCCAGTCCTACCAGTTTTTCTGCTAGCTATGCTGAATGTACTTCCCGCTTCCGAAAACAGATCGGCAGTCTGGAACTTTCAAAACCTTCATAACGTCAGGCACTTGACATCTTTAGCATACTGTGTTACCTCAAGATCTCCGCCATTTTCGATACCGTCTTTCACATTGATGATACGTTCCCTTTTGATGCCACGAACAACCTCAAGCCGTTTTGTGTGACTTAAAAAGGCGAGAGCGTAAGGCAAGACGTGCAACCTGTTTGATGATATAGAACATTACCTATGGAACTGTTCTGCTCGAACCGCAAACTCCTTGAGCATAGCATGAGCACGATCAACCAGTAGGTCTTTTACCGCTGACATCTCTGAAAAAACAACTTCAGCAATCACAAAATGAGGCCACTCTGCAATGATGCAGCTCTAGATTAGATCCAACCTTTGGAACGTTCTGCGACCTCCACTGCATTCATCCATTCACCTGCCTTCGAATACGCTTCGATGAGCAAGCCAGAGGAAGCTCTCTATAAAAGCAAACTATGCGTAAACCTACCTTCACCGGGACCCACAGCATATTCAAAAGCACTTGGCAAAACAAGAGACCAGTTTGTTGTTTTTTTTTGGGTGAAATGTTCGGCTGCCTAGTACATGAAGACGGTGAAAAGACAGAACTATCAATACGGAGTTTTGCGAGTCTAACACTTAGACTGAAATCCTACATATGGCCACAGCCTGGAATGGCTTGTGTCTCGCCCAACTAGTTGGAGAAGAGGGTCCAGGTAAGTTATGAATCACTCAAATTTACTCCTTTCAGCTCTCATTACGTGAAAACTTGACAAGATCGGTGCCTGGACACTCACCGCAACTCTCAAAGCCTTGGCTGCCTCAGACCATCGACCAGACGTCTTTAACTTAGCGGCCATTTTATTCAACGACTTCTCGATGAGCTCGTCCGAAATGCCAAGGTCATGAGCTCGAGAGATGTATCGGTCAACATTCATAGCCATTTCAAGACAATGCAAGCGCCTGGAAAGGAGAATATGTAGAGATATTTCAAAGGAGGAGAGCTTCGCGAAATTGCATTATTTCCCGATTTCTACTTAGAATTATCGAAGTATTTGTGTATATGATTGGTTTTAACACATTGCGACAACGGCGGGATATATCAGGGGTGGCCAAGAAAGAGGACGTTTTGTACCTACTATCGCGACTTCACCGCGATCTTGACCAGTGTGATCGCGCGGCAAATGTGGAATAAAAGGCCGTGGGTGGCCACAGGAGGGACCGCCGTGTTTTTATTGATTATTTTTTGTTGTATTTGTTGCTAACTAACTGTTCGCCGTTTCGTATAATAAATCTTTTATAGATTGAGTTGCGCCGTAGATAGTCTAAGGATATTTTGCGCTCGCACTGATTGTATCCTAGAGTTTAATATTCGGAGTATTTTTACCGCGTGGCACGAGATAAGGAGCCACTGTTTTTATATGGTGCATCGGCCGACCGAGTATCGGACTCGAACTGCATTGGAAGGTACGCCTTTCTATCTCACTGTGAGAACCTCAGCCTTTTTTTGCGCCGGCGCCGAGGAGTTGAAGAGAATTATTTTTTACATTTAATTGATTTTTTTTTGATTTTTGTGCACCTTCCACCTCTTCGCTTCCTAATTGATTATTTTTTTTGCGCCTCCTTCAACCTTCCTTGTGTTTTTTTCTCAAACTTTTGTAGTCCAAAAATTTGAATACATATTTTGAAACTGAGAATTTTCTCATTTCTCTCTGCATCTGTTTCGAGTATTTCATCATGGTCGGCCCCATAGGATTGAGTTCAAAAAAGGGTTTACTCACGCGCTATTGTAACCACATTGAATCTTTATTGGAGCAGTATAAAAACCTTAGGGAGCCCCAAGACGACCCTGAGCTAGGCCTAGGGAGCGCCCTTGAAGCAAAGGAGTTGGCTCTGCAACTAGAGGCGTTTTCAAAACTGGTATGCGAGGCACTGTCAGACTTCACAGCAGCGATGGACTTACTGGCAGACAGTCTCACGGCGGAACAAGTCGACCAGGCGAACGGATATATTGAAAGAGCCCATATGTCCATCGATAGGGCCCGAAGCACGGCCATAGAATTAGAAGCAAAAAGATTGAGCGCCCTAGAAGTGCACGGAGGATCAATGAGAAACCCTAATACTTCACACTTCAGAGCGCCACATATGCAAGTAGAACCAGTAACCCACAAGTTACCGGCCATCCCCATCCCAACCTTCAGCGGGAAAGTATGGGAATTTGAGAACTTTTGGACGCTTTTTGAAGCAAATGTCCATAACCAGCCCCTCACAGGTCTCCAAAAATTCAACTACTTAATCAGTGCATTACAAGGGGAGGCAAGAGATTCGGTGCGCCGGTTCAACATCACTGAAGCAAATTATGATAAAGCCATAGAGTTCCTATGCAAGAAATATGGTGATGAGTCACGTCTCATCGATAGTCTACAGATGCGCCTTGAACATGCGCATGCTGAAAACCCAGGTCTTGAGGAGCAAAGGCGCCTCCTTGAGAGTATAATGCCAATAGTAGCCCAGCTAGAAGATAAAGGAGTGACTCTGAACGGCTCCTTCCCATGTCAGAGAGTGCTTTCAAAATTCACAGCAAAGCTTCAGCGCAAGGTTCTCGAACAGTGCATTAGTGCCTCCACACAAGAGCAGTCATGGATCCTTAGTGACATCCTTCTGCACCTGGATAAAATCATAGGCAGGGAAGAACATATCAATTACATGATAAATAAAAATCCGGCTCCTAGTAAAAGTAATACGGCGAAGGTTACCAATAGCGCACACCAGAAATCGGCGGTTATGGTTACGCCATGCCTTTTCTGTAACGCTACCAATCATAAATCGGTAGCATGCACCAAATATGCCACCATCGAAGAGCGCAGGAACTTTTTCCGTGGCTCTAACCGTTGCCTTAACTGCGGGGCAGTAGGCCATTTAATTACCAACTGTCAAAGAGAGGGCTGTAGAAACTGTGGAGGGAAGAAGCACCACCACACCCTATGTCCTTCACGGACGAAGAAATTCCACTCAACTCCACATCAACAGTCACCACTACCGGGAAATGATCCTGCAGCGGTCGAATCGACAACAACGACTAACCAGCGAATAAAATTGGCTAGAAATGTAAAAAGAGAGTGGGCTTGGGAAACAGGGTCGAACACACGCACACACTCTCGGAACAGGCACCCTTGAGGATTCGGCAAGCTTGGCGCAATCAGAGGAAGAAATCCCCAACACAGGCACGGTCCTCGCTTCATTGCACAACAAAGGCATTCACCCAGAAAAAGGGGACAACAGTGGACGCACGGACAGTCATGTCGTCCTGCTGACAGGAGTGGCACAAGTAAGGGACACCTTACGAAATCAGTGGAAAGATGTAGAAGTACTTCTTGACACTGGGGCAGATGAGTCGTTCATCTCTACCGATTTGGCCGACGAACTAGGCCTAGAATGCACGACAACAAGAAAGCTTCACGTTTACACTTTCGGCACCGTGCAACCGAAGAATGTAGTTTGCAACGTGACAACCCTGGAACTGTGGGATAAATATGGGATAAAGCACAAGATGCACCTGCACACGCTTCCGGTTATCACCACATCTAACAAAACAGCGCAGCTGAGCTCTGATGACTTGGCATTCATTGAGGAGCGGCAAATATACTTATCCAAAATGCATCATATAGGTTCGTACAAGCCTCAGATTTTAATAGGCTGTGACCAGTTGTGGGATTTGCTTGAAATGTCACGTCCACATTATGTCTTACCTTCGGGCTTACATTTGATTCCCTCAAGATTCGGCTACCTGCTTACAGGAAAGCAGGTGATAGGAGACAAGGAGAAGCACCCTCCCAAGGAAGGGATCGAAGACAAACCCGAGGCATGGCCCACTACTATCAATACCATCATTAACTTCAAGGTGGACCCTGAGGAGGACGTTGATAGATGGGACAAATATTGGGCCATGGATTCAGCAGGCGTGTGCGAATTCACAGGCACAAAAAACGCGGAAAAGGATGCGATCAATGAGGAGGTCGAAAAATTTTTCGAAGAAACTATCCAGAAGCGCCCTGACGGCTACTATATACGTTTCCCTTTCAAGAAAAATCATCCTCCATTGCCGTCCAACAAAGCTATCGCCATGAAACGCTTACGCTCCATACTTCAGACGCTTCAGAAAACACCGCACCTTCTGCAAGAATACGACAACATCTTTGCAACACAGGAGCAACAAGGAATCATCGAACTCGTCGATAATGATTCATCAGGGGATGGTTCGTTGATTCACTATATACCGCATCAGCCGGTGGTCACCCCCCAAAAAGAAACAACAAAATTGCGCATTGTATTTGATGCTAGCGCACATTTCAAAGAGTGCCCCTCACTTAATGATATACTGCACCAGGGACCACTGATTTTACCGGAATTATATGCAATGCTCCTACGCTTCCGTGTTCCTTCCTATGTAGTCATCTCAGACGTTGAAAAAGCCTTCTTGCAAGTGCACCTCCAGGAAGCTGACCGGGACGTTACGCGATTTCTATGGGTACGAGATATAAATGCACCATTGGATAGCAACAATATTATAACATATCGCTTCACCCGGGTAACCTTCGGCTTGAATGTCTCGCCCTTCTTGTTAGGAGGAACTATCCATCACCATCTTCGTTGCGCCGTTTCGGATGTGGACTTGGCGAACGAAATTCGAGAAAACTTATATGTGGACAACCTTTTCCTCGCAGGTGAAACTTCGGAGGAAGTTGTACAAAAGTCCCTGGATGCGCGCAAAATATTTTCTGACATGGGGATGAACTTAAGGGAGTTCACTTCAAACGACCCGTCATTGCGCAACAAGTTACCACTAGAGGCATGCAGTACACCTACCCCGAAAAAAGTCCTCGGTATCCAGTGGGATGCAGAGAATGATAATCTTACTATTTGTTGCTCCTTGCCCCCGTCGAACACAATAACAAAGAGAATAGTGGCGCGCCAGATCGCCTCTATATATGATCCTTTTGGGTGGCTAGTTCCATTGATTACTCCAGCAAAAAAGTTTCAACAAGATTTATGGAGGCATAAACTGCAGTGGGACACGGAGCTAACACCTGAAATGCGCCACAAATGGGAGTGTATTGTCAATGACATTAACGGATTCAGCCGTTCGTTCCCAAGACGTTTCTGCACCAGCCCTAACAAACTGGACTTAGCAGTCTTCGCAGATGCCAGCGAGATAGCATTAGCCACATGCGCTTATATGTTCAACTCAAGGGGGTCCACTCTAGTTATGGCTAAGAGTAAACTGCCATCGATCAAAACCAAGACGACCATTCCTAAACTCGAAATGAATGCACTAACAATGGCTATGCGCCTGGCAAACTCCATTACGCAAGCTTTGAGGTTTGGAAAATATACCTCCCCAAAGAATGTGTACGTTTTCTCAGACTCTCAGATTGCGCTTAGTTGGCTTTCCTCCCCCAAATGCACAAAAATAGGAGTCTTAGTGGAAAACAGAGTACGCGAAATACGCAAAATTGTTCAGCACCTAAACGATATAGGACTAGAAGTCATGCTAGGTTATGTGCGCACGGTGGAAAACCCAGCAGACGCGGGAACGAGGGGATTGGACAAAGGGCAGATAAACAACAGCGATTGGTGGAGTGGACCACAATTCCTGAAGTCGCCTGTAAACACTTGGCCCATTGAGTTCTATCCGTCTCCTATGCTTGCACCAGAACCTACCAATGAGGTTTTACAAGCCCAAAAGACAGCGTATGTAACCTCCCTGTGCACGCGTAACGAAATCAAAGGTGAGCTGTTACCCTGGCACCGATACAGCTCCTTTCGTACCGGCAATCGTGTCGCTGCGATAGCTCTACGTTTCATAAAAAGGATGGTACGCTCCCTAGAAAGGATCCGGAAAAAGATCTTGAAAACTATACCAGAGCTGGAACACATCTCAGACACCTCCCACCTTCTGGACAGTGGCGAGCTAAAAGCCGCCAAAATGGTGTTGTTCCGCAATCATCAACAGGTATATCTGAATAAGGAGTATCGCAAATCCATGGAGAATACCTTACGGCTTTATGAAGATGATCAAAGAATATGGAGATCGAGAGGACGTCTAAAACATTCGGAGCTCCCTCAGGAGGCAAAGGATCCTGTTCTCATCATGCCAAATACATCGCTGGCACAACGACTTATCCGAGAAGCCCATGGTACATACCATAGAGGCATTGAGCACACGATTGCGACCGTCAGGGAACAATACTGGATTCCGAAGCTGCGCCAACAGGTTCGGAAAATGATCACTCACTGCGTACCTTGTCGAAAATTCAACGCCCTACCATATCAGTACCCTGATACGCCGGATCTTCCCAATCGAAGAGTTGTAAGAAGTTATCCATTCCAACACACAGGGTTGGATTTCTTCGACCTCCCTCCCCTGAAGGAGAATGGGTGCAGTTATAAGCTGTACGGGTGCATTTTCACATGTACAGTTACACGCCTCATTCATTTAGAAGTTGTGCGGAGCATGGCCACAAATGAATTCCTTAACGCGCTTAGACGATTTGTTGCGCGCAGAGGTGTACCAGAATCGCTAACCTGTGACAACGCACCAACTTTCCTCTTAAGCGCGAATATTTTGGAGAGTAGGCCCAATAGTATGAAAGAGGATATACAACACTTTGTAGCTGATAAGGGGATCAAATGGAATCACATAACGCCATATGCACCATGGCAAGGTGGGCTCTATGAACGCCTTATTAAGTCTGTGAAGCATGCCCTCTATAAGGCGCTAATGCCTGCACGACAGCGATCATTCGATGATATTCACACAGTCGTCATCGAAATCGAAGCTTGTCTGAATTCTAGACCCCTTACTTATCAAGGATCAGCGCACGAAGAACTCACCTCGGTGCGCCCAATGGACTTTATACAACACGGTCTTAGATTATCATTCCCTGAAATAAGGGCCGAGGACGATGATCCTCTATACTTGCCTCCCGATACGCACCGCACCTGGCAGCATCGCCAACAAGTGGTAGAAGCTCTTCGGTCATCAATTCAGGGAACAGAAAAGTTCTGGAAGATATGGCAACAACAATATTTGACTTCCCTAAGGGAAACCCAGAAACGTCTTCCAACTAACCGCAGACTGGGACGAGAAACCCCAACGATAGGGGATGTTGTTCTGGTGAACGACCCTGTCCTTCCAAGGCATGAATGGAAACTAGCGCGTATAACGGATATAAAGAAGGGAGGCGACGGCGAAATCCGCGAAGTGGAACTCCAATCCTCTAATAAGAGAAAGATGCGCCGTCCAGTGAATCTACTGATACCCCTTGAGGTCCAGGAAACGACAGAGAACTCGATGAACCCTCAGATTTCAGTAGCGGAACAATCCATTACGGACAGTGATCCCCCACTGGGCAATACCCACCGTTATAACTTGCGCCGTCGTAAAGCAGTTAAATACGCAGAAAATTCCGCTCACAGCATCGCAACAACCAGTGCTAAAATTTCTAAGGCATCTAGATGGTTCCTTTTCCACATAATGATCCTTTCTTTACTTCAAGTGGGTCACAGCTATCACATAGCTACAACGAATACGCCAGGTGTAGAAGTGGGTATTGTAACTGAAACAACTTTGCCACAATCGCTCGAGATGTACACTGACACGGCTTGCATAACTGGAAGCCTTTACGCTACTTTAGTTATTTGGCTACGGCTAGGAACTCGTTCGTCAGCCCCTCATAGCTTTTATGGGATTACCACCTTGGCTTGTGCGCTACTGTTCATAGCAGTAGCTTTTGAAAAAGTATTAACCCTCCCGTCTATGGGCACATTGCCACAGCCCAACAGCTCACCGTACCTTATGTGGCACTACTGTATAAGGTCCCTACATAAGCTTCGAACTCAGCTCCAGTCATCGATGAGCGCCCGGTCGAAAGCACCAATTACCGTAAGGGTACCGTCGTCCGAAGTAGTAGGCCCAGCGTTCACATCTCGAGAAGTCAACTTATTTTATGACAAGGTAAAAACTACACGACGAAGGTATACTGCGTCGCACAGTTTGAAAAGCGTCTTCTGAACACTCCCCGAGGGACCGCGTGGTAGTTGCATGAAGTATCGCTTCTGTACATGCACATATCTCTGATCTTAAGATTGCACATCGCCAAACATTGCTCAAATCACCACCAAAAAAAAAGCAACTCCACGTGCGCCGGAAAAAAGGGCTTATTCTAATTGTAAATCAATAATATTATAGCGACGCAGAATGATTTTATACCTTTAGATCCTTCGCCGGTATCAACTGAATTTTCCCAAACATAGGTGCGCCTGAAAAATCTTGACGAGCACGTTTCCGGAGGTACTGTCAATAGGTGCACCTTTTTCAAAAGATTTAAGTTTTTGCCCATCTCTTTTTTAGTTTTTCAGATTATGCAGAAAATGGATGGTGTTGAATACGAGCTTCACCAAACCAAACGCGGTCTTGAGCGACTACAAAGAGCCATCCCACCACTCCCGCAGCCGCAGAAGCTATATGATAAGATTGTCTCTCTATGTTTCGATCATCATTCATGTACTGAAGCTGTCACCAGCCTAGAAAAGAAAGTCCGCCGTCTGAGCCTCTCCTCTAAGCCTTTTAAGGAGCGCCTTCTTGAAATAGATTCCTTTGTTCTGGAAGTAGATAACCTTCGTCTCCAGTTCCTATACTGCAGATCGCAACTGCGAACCCTCTATTCAGTCCCTCCATTGCTTATCGCCTTGGACAAGATGTCGAGAGAATTTTGGGAGAGTCTCATGAACCAACCACAAGAGGTAGACGGAGATGAACCCCTCCTGATGGACTTAAAACTTATTGAGAACGTGACTTCGGATCATCTGGAAACACTCTGCACGTTGCGCTCGGACTTGAACAACTTCCGCAAAGAGGCCGAAAATATGGAAGGAGAAGATGTCCTCAGTTTCGAAAAAGAAGTCCACAATCAACTTGCTCGCCTTGGACAGCAGATACTGGACTCCAAAGATTCCATTATAGAGGCCCTGGAAGCCAAGAACAATTCGCCGGACCAAAGTCAGCCAAAACACAACAGTGCATACCAGCAAAACGGCGCCGAGGGAATCATGCCGATTCGTGAAGAAAGCCGTATAATTGAGGATAATATCAACTTCATGGAAGGGGTGGAGGAACTCGGAGCCAATGAACAGAATCCCGAAGAGCAGGATGACGACGCAGAAGGAGAAGAGTCCGAAGAAGAAACCCATGATGCAGAGGATGAAGTTTCTGAAGAAGAGATTCGTGAATATGAAGATGAG